CGCATGCTGAAGCATCTTTCCTAAGAGAAGCCCGTTGTCACAGTTCGGCACCTTCTCTTCTCCAAAGAGATGAATCAGTCTAAGCAACGCCAGCCTGCGACTGAATCCTTAGCACGCAGTTATCCATTTCTGTTGTTAGGGACTTACGGAGGCAGGGACAGGTTCACAGAGAAACTAGGCAGAGAGGAGGGTTGGGTCCTGGCCACCATCAGAGCAAGCAGAGCTGAGGGAGCAGGTGGCTTCTGACCTCTGTCCTGGGGAGCTTTGGGATTTGCCCTTCAGGTGCTCCTGGCTGGTAAGCAACCCCAGGGCCGGTTGCCATATCCAGGACTCAGGAGTGGAATGGAGGAAATGGGGTTCACAGGTTTGTGTCTGCCAGAGCTACCCACTTTGGGTCAGGTGTCTGCTGGCCTGAGCGGACTTTTGACGCTTGTTGCCTCATGTGCTCCTCTAGCTGCTGGGTACGAGCTGAGGTTTCCTGCTCTCTCCAGAAGCCTCACGCGTCTCTTGTCCGCCCTGCTAGAGGTGTCTCCGAGGTGCCCGCTTTACAATAGGGCGCTTGATTTGGTGTCACGCATTGGAGGGCCCAGTACTTGATCAATTGGCCCCATCACCCTGGGCCTGTTGTCAAACACTGCGTCATGCTAACAGCACGTGACAAAGGCATCATTTCATGGCAGGGAAGTAAACAGGAGCAAATGAAGGCATCTGGGGTCCCACAGGCCCAACAGTGACCTAAAGGCCTTCACTTCTTCTCGTCTCTCCAAAGTCCCATCAGCAGTCCAATAGCAGCAGCCTGGGAACCAAGTCTTTTCTTCAGGGTCTTTGGGTGTGTGTGTGTGTGTGTGTGTGTGTGTGTGTGTGTGTGTGTAAGATTGAGATGTTAGCTGAGAGCCCACAGTGATACACAGGAATGTGCGAAAGGAGTTATCAAATTGGTCATGGAAATGCGAGACCCCGAAAGGACTTTCAAACCCCTTGATGCGGTAATGCAGTGGCTGTTGTTTCCTGCCGTCGCTGCTACGGATGGTCCTGGCCTGTGAGGCTGCCAAACAGAGGCCTGAGTGGCACCCGAGGCCTGGTGATCAGGACTGCAGGGCAGGCTGGGAGGAGGGACATGGGTGTAAGTGTGGTGTGGTGTGTGTGTGTGTGTGTGTGTGTGTGTGTGTGTGTGTAAGCTGGTGAGGGCAGTGGCTCTGCTCACGAAACGATTTATTTTTTTGTTTAGCTTTTGCACTTTCCAGCCCAGCTTGAAAGGAAAAGGCAACGCAGAGGACCCCTTCAACCTAAGGTAATGTCAGGTCAAGGCGCTCTCTGCCCTGGCTCTCTGTCTTATTCTCCTGCTCAGGATTCATACAAAGGGCACAGCCATTTGTTTGTAAATTTCTTTCCAATCTGCAGGCATCCTTATTATTACTCCTGACGTTTCTGCTTTCAACTTAACTTCTACAAATAGGCCTGGAGTCCACCGCACAGGCCCTGACAGTCTCGGGCCTGAATAGCTCGCATCCCCTGCTGTAGAAGGAATAACTCCAGCACAGCCTGATTCAGGCCCTCAGGAATGGGTGTGCACCAGCCATGAGGGTTTCTGGATGTTCAGAAATTAAATCAATGCAGTTTGAACATACTATTTGGGAAGTCCAAAACTCTTCAAATCTGTGAGTGCCAATGGGCTGTCACAGGTAGAAACATCTGCGTGTTACCTCTGGTGACACATGGGTCACAATCCAGTCAAATACACTAAAAAGGTTGTGTAAAATTGCTCAGGCTTTGTTAGAGGATCTATGCAACATGACCATTGACCTGCTGACAAGGATATCACTGGCACAGACTGTTAACAGACCCATTGGAATTTCTCGGTGAGAGTTATGTTCCAGACACCTTATTATGTATATGCAAATATACAAAACTCAAAACATGTCCAAACTCCAAGCATTTCTGGTTCTAAGCATTTTGGATATAAGGGAGACTCTGTATGAGTGGTGTGTGAATTAGATGGGAACTTAAAAGCCTATTGTGTGGGTCATCTTGCTGGTCAACGGTAAGGTTTCTATCCCCAAACGTAACACCTCCTCTGCGGGGGCCAGCTCCTTGGAAGCCCAATCTAGGGTCAGCAGATGTTTTTACTTCTGGTGGCAGCGAGACCAGGAAGATGGGACTAGTTTTATCCAGAAGTGTGTATGGGCAGGGCAGTTACCATCCCAGGAGGTGTATTCAGTGAATTCGTATTAACTATGGGTGGGTCTGACCAATTCACTCAAAATATCAATAGCTTGCGATATGTGGTGTCTGGTGCTCAACCAAGTGACAAGCAAAACAACCCCAGACTCCCTTCTGCTGTTGAGACTATTATATTCTCATGAGGAGGATACACATCTCAATTTAGTCTGGGAACAGAAAGAAGGTCTGGTGAGGGAAAGTTTAATAAGAGAGATCAACTTGAATTAAGACATAGTCAGCCACAGGCCTGTCATGCGTGAGACCGGGAAGAAGCTTTTGGGGGTCAGGAGGCAAAGTGCAGTTACACAGGGAGCTTGGCTAGTCTGGCGAAGGCTGCTGCACTGGCATGCTGGGAGCTGCAGGGACCAGACAGAGGCTCAATAACGAGTTTGTGAAGTCCTGGAGGGAACATGAGAGCCGGGCGATTTTGAGTAACCGGGAGGAAGGGGGCTAAGGGTCAGCAGAAAAAGGGGAAGGGGCCTGGCTTATGTCTGAGAAGAATTACCTTGGCAGTTGGGTCAGGAAAAGAAACTAGTAAGTCAAGGACAGAAGAAGAGACTGGTTCAGAGCCGGCTGCAGTGGCCCGGGGATCAGTGCTGGTCAGAGCCAGCAGAGCAGTGATGGGAATGGTCAGACAGCAGACAGGGCTGAAGGGACAGACGACGGGATCTGATGACAGGTGTGAGGTGTTGGTGAGAGGGGGCACTCAGTCCTGAGTGGCTAGAAAGCGCAACGGGGGCAGCCCGGACGAGCCGCTGTGCTATCGGCAGCTTTGTTTGGGATGCGTGAATTTAGAAGTGTCTGTCACACTTTCAGGAGGGGGTCATAGGACACCATGTAGAAATGCGAACTTCCGAGTTTAACGGTGCGGGGGAGGGGATGGCGGGGATCTTGACGAGATGTAATTTGGACTAAATGGTATTTCAAACCAAGCAAGTGGACAAGGGCAGCCGGTGAAAGCATGCTTGTGGAAAGAGGTGGAGAGCCATGAGCGGTGCCTTGTAAGCAGACGAGCCTGCCGAGAGGATGCAGGTGGGATGGCCCACTAGAGGGGAAGCGGGGAGAGACAGAGCGCTAACTAGCCCAGGCTGCGGGTGTGGGAAAGCTCAAAAAAGCCTGCTGGGCGCTGCAGGTAGGGGTGACCAAAGAGTCTCAATAGGCCAAGCAGGATACGAACTGAGATAGGACCACTGATCTTGGCAACACAGAATCACTGGCAGCTCCGACCGATGTCAGTTGCTGCTGACAGAAGCAGAGCATCAGCTCCTTCGCTCAGAGTGGGATGTCACAGTGAGTCGGGGCACTGCTGCGGGTCTTCGCTGGGAAGGTGGTTGTTGGCCAGCTCTACCGGACATAGTTCAGTAGTTGATGAGGATAAATTCTAGGATATCCCTGGCCGGCTGACATCACCCCTGGGCATCTTACGCTGCTCTCGTGGGAGACTTACTGCCTGGACTTGGGGTCCCCAGGTCATTTTGCTGGAGGTTGTAATTATCCACCCAAGTGAATGAATAGAAGCAAAGAGGACTAGTCGCCTCGTATGCCTGGAGACAAAACAAAGCAAGCAACAAACAACCCAGCTCACCTCCGTGTGTGACTCACTCTTCTAGGCTCATGAAAGTCTGCTGGAAGCTGTAGCTTGACCTCTAAGTGAGGACTTCCCCTTGGCCAGTTCTGGTCTAGGCAAGCTTTAAGAACGCTTTGGCATCACTGCCCCAGGATCTCCCAACCAACAGTCTCGTAGGTAATCCGCCCCAGAATGGAGACCCTTGTAGAAACCTTCTATCATCCGCTGAGAACAGTACACAGTGCTCTAGAGTTTATAACAAAACCCAATTTTCAGCATAGTGTTTTACCATTGAAGAGTTTCTGTTTATTTTCTTTATACATTGTCTTTGAAAATGTTTAGAGCATGGGTGATAAGAAGCTATGAAATCCCTATAAGATGGTGATCTTTTGGGATGGGTGACAGTGCCAAGGACACAAGCTCAGCAGCCTCAAGCTCAGCATCAAGTCCCCTTCTTACCATGCTTCTGCCTCCAGTCTCTCTCCCCGGAGATCAGTGTATCTGTAATGTACATAACCACTTTAGGAAAGCTCACTCCGGCTCCTCCCTGAATGGAGCAATAAGGTTCTTGGATGTCTTGATCATATGAAACCCTGAGAAGTCTATGGTGGAAGATGACTCAGTCCATCCCTCTGGGTGTAGGGAACAAGAGTTATAACCAGAGGTAGAATAAATACTGTCACAAAACTCGAGTGTGACAACCAATATTCTAGCACTCGGATGATCCTTACACATTCCTGCAGCAACATGGGATTGTGCAATAGGTGTGTGAAGGCTCGGAGTGGTGGGAAGCAGCTTACTGGTTCATCCTCTCCAGAGGCTACATGTGCTCAGCTAACTCCAAGAAGCCTAGAACATAGACACAGAAGCCATACCTTTTTTTCAAAGCAAGTTTCTGAGACTCTGCAAGGATACAATCAATAATGAGTGTGCCCAGTGAGCTGAAGGTAATGTGTTCTTTTGCTTGAAATGCCTTAACTCTATGACATGGCTGAAGAATTGCAGCTCAGAGGCTATTCAGTATGCTAGTGTCTCACATTAACTGTGCCATAATGACTTTTAAGTTTGTACTGGAGAGATGTGCAAAGATCTGCCTATTATTGAGTTTGACTGTAATATTTTAAAATTTTATTCTAAAAATAACTGTAGATTCACAGAAATTTGCAAAAGAGCAGAGTCTCTATAACTGCCTCATTGCCTCTCCACCCTCATGAGAGCATGCTTAATCGCTGACTTACACAGTTTGAAAACCAGGACGATTCCATGTATGTCTGCATCTTTGTGAGTTTTGTCATGTGTGCAGATTCGTGCAAGTGCTGTCTTTCCGTCATTACAGAGACAGTTCTTGCCCTGTCACTTCTGCACACTTCCTTTCACACTTTCATTTGTTATTTAGAGACTGTCCTATAAACTTAATCACAGTTTGCAATATTTGAAGACTGGCCCTTTAAACCCTGGAGTAATATCACTGAGATCTGACTAAGTTGTTGCATATTCATAGTATACTTCTTTGTAATTGCTGAGTAGTACTCTATAGGCATGGTATGATACTAGAGTTTGCTCAGCTACTTGTAGATTGAAAGCCATTTGGTTGTTTCTAGTTTGGAACCACTACAAATAAAATTGGCCGTTTACATTTAGTGTAATTATTAAAGTGTTAGAACACAAGTTGACCATCTTACCTTTTGTGTCTGTGCTTTCCTTGATTCCTGTTTTTCCTTTTGTTGCTTTTTTGTGTACAACTAAGGGGATAGTTAAAATTTGGCTTTAACTATTTATAGTATGTTTGAGTACATTTCTCTTTGTGCATATTTTATATGTTTTATCTCCTTCATAATTAAATGTAATTATATACATGTAATTTTTACAAGTTACTGGTAATGAGAATGTACCATTTTGAGTGACGTGTAGAGACTGAAACTTTCAGTCTTAACGTAGACTTTTAAGACTTTAATTGCCTATTAATTTATAAAATCTTTGATTTTCTTAGGCACTCTTTTTACATACATTCAGAAAACCACACACAACATCTTCCAAAGACATTTTCACAAGCAGGGAGCCTAGAACCAAGGGAGACAAAGTGAAATTTATAAAGCAATTCAATAATTTGGGTAGCATCGGAGAACCTGTCTTCCAGAATGTTCCCTCTACCACTCTGTCTTCTAATTTGGGACTTTTCCTCTTCAGAGTCGTTTATTTCTGTTGGCTGATTGGTCTTCATGTTTTTGCCATAAGCTACTCTAGGAGGTAGATGGTGAACGCATCCTGAGGAATAGAGACAGAAGAGACTAAGGCAACTGCTCCAGGCAACCAGGGCAAAACACAGGTCACACTGTGATCACACCAGGGCCACCCAGACTGGACCTGGCTCTGAGAAATAGGGACTACTGTCACGGTGGACGGTTTCTGTTCTACTTGAGAAAAGAGAAACCCATGGCTTTGTATCAAGTAATTCCAGGCTTAATGCAACTTCCAGGGAATAAACATGACAGTGGCATTTTATAGAAGGAAAGAGTATGAATATTGAATAAGATGCAGAAGATGGCAGCTAAGTACTCAATCTCTCCAATCTTTGCGCTGTCTGGTAGCCAGCACTTCCTAGCTAAAAATGGGTCTGACTGGAATGCATGCCAGACAAGTCAAAGATGTCTGCCTGCTTGGTTCTCAATCCTAATGAAGTTCAGTGTGCTTAAACCCCTTTCTGAGACCCAGGAAAAAGTGAAAGTGGCAGGAAGCACCATCAGTGAGGATGGAAAGGAAGCATCATTGTGTACACTAGCCCAACAGAAGGCTGCAAGTCCGTGAGCAAGGTGATTCTGAGGACCAGTGATAAGCATGCCGAGAGGTGGCAACTCCAGTGGGGATGAGGCAGGGAGAGGACAGTAGAGACAGCAGACAGGAGAATTCACAGTCAAGACCCAGACCCTTCTCGGCACGGACTGTAGCTGCAATGTTTTCCTTAACTTCTCTTTGCTGACTTCTCTGGATACCTAGGAAAGGTGGTACCCATCCTCCAGAGAAAGAGCTTCAGGAGGAGCAGTTGGACTGGGCAGCACCCACTGACTGCTGCTCTCTCCTAGATTATGTTTCTGTGTGGATCCTGAAATGCCTGAGTCAGAGAGAAAGAAGCTGTAGTTGCGAGACTGGCTCCCTAGTGGGCACATCTGAGACTCCCCCTCCTAACTGGGGTGCTCGGGGTAAGGATTCCTGTAGAAGTCTCCATGCCTGGAATGAAAATGATATGTCCTGAGAGCCTTGGCTAAAACTCTGAATTCACCCAAGACCTCAGAAAGGTACAAGATATACTAGCCAAGTATTCTGCCAGCCACTTCATCCAAGACCTTAGCAAGGTACAAGACATAGTAGCCAGGTGTTCCAGACAGCCATTTCTAGAATCCAAGTGCATCATCAGAGTGGATATTAAATCACTTGTGCCATGCAATTCCACAAGAATGAAGTAATTATCCACACCTCTCCGGCAAGCTCAGAAGAAATCAACGCTTTGGGTTCTCCTGCAGACCACTACAGAGATGTCCAAATAGCCCTGGGCCTCTAAGTTTCTCACTGTCTTTGCACACTGGCACCAAAAGCACAGACTAAGAACAACAACAACAACAGCAAACTCCAAACTTTCTTGACAAGCAGTTCCAAGAAGAACCCCAGATTTTGGGTGCAAAAAAAAAGAACCACAGAAGCCTCCCAAGGGGGTCACAAACTGGCTAAAAGTCACAAGGGAGAATGAAACCTCGCTGTGAAAAGATGGGATTTACTGGGGACGTAGATGTCTGTCATTTCCAAATCATTCCTTTTTTAAAAAAAATATATTCTTGCTATTTAATCTTGGCTACCATCTAACTCTCAGCAATAATGCCTTAGTCTCTCAAGCCATGGGACTGCAGGAATCCTTCCATTCTATCACAAGCTAGGCAGAAGGTGCTGTTGATGCTAGCAAAAGAGAAGGGAGGGAGGGAAGGAGGGAGGGAGGAGGGAGGGAGAGAGGGGGGGAAGAAGGGATAAAGTAAGAGGGAGCAAGAAAGGAAGGAAGGAGGGAGGGAGGGAGGGAGGGAGGAAGGAAGGAAGGAAGGAAGGAAGGAAGGAAGGAAGGAAGGAAGGAAGGAAATGCTAGTTTTGACAACTGCAGGGACTGTCACTATCCCAGATTTCACCCATAGCCACTGAGCCACAGATGGAAGCCCTGGAGGTTTCCCATCTAAAAGGCAGACCTCTATGCTCTTGCTGAGGGGCAAGACAAATTCTGTCACCAGAGCTCACAACCTGAAGACCTGGCTAGCGACTTTATAAATGAATTTATTTGGAGTTTTGCCTAAAACTTGAAAGACAGAAATTCTAAGTATCTTTCCCCCAGAGCAGTGTTAGAACTTGTAGGAAACGAGAGACAGCTTGTGGGGTGGTCCCTTTAATCCAAGCACTTGAGAGGAAGAGACGGCCCAATCTCTGCTAGAAGACTGACCCCAGTAAGGACCAAAATAGATGGGTCTAGTTAGGAGAAGGCAGTACACTGTGCTCCGATCCCCGATGCTACAGAGAAAGAAGCAGGGTAGCAGAGAGAAGTCAGGGCATCAATAGCAGCAACCCACAGCAAAGGCCATCAGCTCACATCCTCTTGAGACATCAGTTGCCCAGATGTTAGAGATGCAGGACTGGACAGAAAGATGCTCAGCACTTCACTTTCTATCTCTGGCTAGTGTTGTGGTCTACACAGTAAATTCCTGACTAGCTTAGAGGAAATGTTGCAGGCAGGGTGGGAAAAGAAGAAAAAAGAAGAAGAAACAAAAGCCAGGAAATCCATGCAGACTTAGCTATGGGCCCCATCAGCAGACCTGGTGAGAATATCTTTTTCCTAAGACCAGAGCTGTTTGAGTGACCATTTCTACTCCCAATAGACAAGTTTCCTACACGGACCCTTGTGCCCAGGACTCTGTTGTAGTTATTCACATCCCAGATATAACATCCCCTTTAGATGGCTTCCCAATAAATCATCTGTGATATTAAAGGAAGAGAAAGCAACCACACAGGGGAGCATGTGGTGAGTGGTTTTGTGGTGTATATTGCTGGTGGGTAGAAATGTGTACCGTCTACTTGATGACATGTGTCACAGCTATTTCAATGAAGACCCTTGAACACATGATTTGCAGTGATGCAAGACTGCCAGGAAATAATCTAAACCATGGTACCATGTGTTAGTCATCCAGGCACTCATCACAGAACCGTTTTCATCAGTGCAAAAATTAGAAACAACTTAAATGCCCACAGGAATGTATAGTTCTGCATATCATGAGAACGAGCGTCTTGCAGATGTTTGCGATGTTAGCTTCAAAGGCCATGTGACAACGTGGGTTTCAAAACAGGGTGGAAACGACACGAATGCTCTGATTTTAGCCACGTGGAAGCGTACACACAGAAAAATGACCAGGAAGAAAGTGTGCCACTATTACAGCTGGCTTACGCCACAGAATGGTGGACATGGTCAGCTATTCTATTTAAAACTAGACTGTTTGGGTCATTTTTGTAATGAAAAATATCTAATAAGCAGGGGGAACTGCAGCAGGAATTTTGAATCTAGATTATTCTGAGATTTTAGAAGTCTGATGGGGAGTATTGCAAGCTAAGCATTATGAAAGGAAAATGAATCCTAAGGAGCTGGAAGATGAAAGATGCTGTCTACTGTGGCTTACAGCGTAAAGAAATGAGCCTGTCCCCTGCACAGAAGCCTTCAGGGCTGTGCACTGGTCACTGCCCATCTCTTGCATGGAGGCCATCAGAGCTGTCCCCTGCACAGAGACCTCCACAGCTGTGCACTGGCCACTGCCTGTCCCTTGCATGGAGGCCTCCAGAGCTGTGCACTGGCCACTGCCTGTCCCTTGCATGGAGGCCATCAGAGCTGTGCACTGGCCACTACTGCATAACTTGCCACCCACTTAGCCAAGTCAGTGGAAGGGCCTTTTTGCAGGGTATCTTCCTCAGTCCTGTGTTCTCAGGCCTATGAAGTTGTGAGTGAAAGGGACACATGCTAGGGTTGTGTGTCTGTTGGGGGTGGGGCCTTACAATAATGGGAACATTGTCACCACAACTGCTATTTTTGCCTGAAGAACTAGTGTGGCTCCTGACTCTGCCTATGGCAGTCTTTTGGCTGCACTCTAGGCTCTCGTTTGTGGATGGAACTGACGTCCCCTGAGTGTCTGCTCTGTGCTAAAAAGTCCCTGACTTCTTAAGTTTCTCAGTCAGAATGCTCTGACCAGCTCCTTTCAGAGCTGGCACAATACCAATCAAGCTTTCTCCTTGCACACGGTCCTTGTGTCTACTACAATGACATCTTTCATTATCTAAGAGTCCTAAAGGGCACCGGGCGCGGTCACAGTCCGTCAAGGGCCTTCAGGAAAGCTCCTAGAGCAGCTGTGCAAATGTAGTTGCAAGTGCTGCTTCTGGCTATTTCCTGGCAAAGTTTAGTGGTAATGCCTGTCCATCTCTGGGATGTTTGCTTTTCTACCAACCCCTAAGAGACTGCTGGCCTAGAGGTCTACATCTAAAACTTTCCCATGGAATGGGTTCCATATTTGGGAACTGACAATGCGCCCCCAAATGCTAGTGATAAGAGTATGTTGGTAGCATTAGTTCCCTGGGCAATAGGCGACACCAGGAGCATTCGGGACAGAAATGAGATGGACAGATAGATGAGGGTGTCTTTGTTCCCCGAGCTGCATGTATGGAAAGAAATAATAAAGTATGCAGAATAGCAAGAGACAGAAAGCCCCTCAATCAACCAAACCATAGTCGGAGAGGTAGGGAAGGGTGTTTTATGGTTTGGATGAAAAGACTCCTACAGTAACACAAGAGTCCTTTCCTTTGGGTGCAGCTCACTGCCTCCCCCTTACCACCTCTTCCCTTCCTGCCTCAGGGTCAGGGTCCCAGGTCACCTCCAGTCTTCCTGGGAATCCTTGGCCATTGAATTGGGTGAAACCAAATTGGAAAAGATGGCCTTTCTTGGTGTCATGGGGGCCATGCTCTTGATTCTGTTCAACTTGTTCCTGGCCTGTTGGCATTTTTGCAGGCATGCTGAACACAGATCCTTCTCTTCCACCAGATAGAGATTTTCCAGCCTTTTGATGGTGTCCACAAATGTGTCTGTCTCATTTGCCTTTGGAAAGGGGTTCCCTTTTATGTTGAGCTTCTTCAGTTTGGGGAGCTTGGAGATGCTGGCAGGGATGGTATTCAGCAGGTTGTCATATAGCCCCACCTCATGGAGCTCCTTCAGTGCCCCCAGCGTGGTCGGCACGCTGTCCAGGTGGTTGAGGCCCAGATTCACAGTGCGGATGTTCTTGAGCTGGTTCAGTTCCACGGGCAGCCCGTTTGTGGTCAGCCTGTTGTTGCTCACGTTGAGGTAGAGCAAGGAGGTCATCTGACCGATGGACTCAGGGATTTTGTCTATGTAGTTGCTGTGCAGGTCCAGCCACCGCAGGTTCTGGAACTTGGAGATGGAGTCTGGGATCTTCCTGATGAGGTTCCGGCTGAGGTCGAGCTCATCCACATCATTGAGGCGCAGGATGCACTTGGGAAAGGTGGTGATTCCCATCTTGCTCAGATCAAGACGTTTTTTCCCATCAAAGGTGATTTTGATGCAATTCTTGGCTACATTGAGAGTGATCTTCTTGCCCTTGGGGCCTTTCCCGCCCTTGGCCATGGTCTCTTAGTATGAGAGTGTATTTGAAGGATATTTTTCTGAATTGATGCTGATGACGTTGAGGAAGGAGTCACATAAAACTGCTAGAAGGGAAGCTCTGATAAGAACAGAACACGATAAATCTGGTTAGTAGAGGACACCACACTGTGCTGTGACCCCTGATGGTACAGAGAGAGAGAGAAAAAAAAAGAAAACAAAACAAAACAGGGTAGAAGAGAAGAATCAGGATAGCAGCAGTAGCAAAAGTATCAGAGGTCTTCAACAGTTCTCATCTCTCCAGATGTCAGGTTCCCAGATGCGAGAGGCAGTGCTGAGCTGAAGGATGCTCAGTACTGCTCTCACTGTCTTATTCTCTGGCCATTTTCCTGGGAAGTAGACTTGTGACTCCAGGGTGTGTGTGTGTGTGTGTGTGTATGTGTAAGTGTATGTGTGTCCTTCTGACTCCAGGTTGTGTGTGTGTGTGTGTGGTGTATGTATATGTGTGTGTGTCCTTCTGACTCCAGGTTGTGTGTGTATGTGTGTGTGGATTGTGTCTGTCTGTCTGTGCCTGTGTGTCTGTGTGTGCATGTATGTGTGCATGTGCATGCGTGTGTATGCTTGGCTATGTTCTACTTTCCCAGACTTTCACATAGAGTCTCCTTAGCATTGTCAAAAGACCATCCTGGGAGGCTGCGGAAGGAGGGGCTGCTGCGTCAAAGGCAGCAGAAGCCTGGAAGGGAGGAAACAGCGAGTGTTAAAAATGGCTATCATATCCCTTTCACATTTGGGACCTGTAAGAGCTAGCAGGCTTTGTTTACTGTAACTGGGTCTGGGGAGCAGCATCCAGAGTGCCCCTCCTCTCCCTGGGTACGGAGGGTGCCAGGGTGGGGCTGCCAAAGCTTCTAGAGAATGCTCTTTCGTCTCCACTGCTCCCCAGCCTCCCCGACATCCTTCACACCAACAGTCAGCTATAGATTGCTCTGTATAACTAGGTTTGGGGGCAGCACAGAGAGCACCACACAGAGCCCTAGAATGTGGAGAGTTGTCTTGAAAGTCTAGTCTGGTAGTTAGCAATTTTCTTTAACTCTCTGCCGCAGTCTCCTTATTTGTGAAAACAGTCCCTTTACAGAGCTGCTAGGGGATATAGATGGTCTAATACTGCATAGCACTGGTAATGGGGGCTCTTAACCGTTAGTTACTAAGTACACAGAGTGTTCCCACTCTTCAACAGTCTCAGGAGACCCAGTGCTGTCCCTGCTGTCTGGAGAGGGAGACTGATGCTGAGCAGTGAGGGAGGCGACAGCTAGAGACAGGCTCTATACAGTCAGCAGTGGAGCGACACATTCCCAAATCTCCACAGTCTGGACAAGGGAAAGCAGATCAAAACTTAGGAGAGCCAAACGCAATCTAAGGCAGCCCCGGAGCTCTGTGGGCTTGTATTAGGAAGGAAAACGGGGTGTGGAGGGGCCCCTCAGCCCTTAAGAGCATTTTCTGCTCTTGTAGCAGGCAAGTTTAGTTCCCAGTACCCACGTGGGCAGCTCATTACCTCCTGTAATTCTAGTGCCAGGGAATCTAAAGCCCCATTCTGGCCTCTGGGGACACTGCAGTGAGGTGCACACACAGTTATACACGTAAGTACCTAATTTAAAATTCAAGTCTTCAGGTGTATGAGTAAGACAGGCATTTGACTGAACCTATCAGTTTATATTGGAAATTCTAGGAAGGGAAATAATGCAAGAAAATGAAGGGTAAACAGAAAAGAATGAAGTCAAGATACCTGTATGTGCAGGTGATCCGACGGTCTACATAGAGACGACCGTGAAATGTTTAGGACAGTCTTTAAACTGATAACTGAACTTAGCAAGATCATGGGAAGCAAGGTTAAAGATTCGGACACAGCTGCCCTGCCAGATATCTGCATATTAGGAAGTAACAAGCAGAAGCTAAAACTTGAAAAAAAAAAACCAATGTTCCCCAAAGGAAAATGCATCCATATGTCAT